CTGGGCTTTACCTCTTGAGGGGCCCTTCATCAACGAGAACTACAGCCTACATTCACTCAGTCTTTATAATCAAAGCTCAAGTTGTCAGCCTTTTATTTTGCAGCTATAAATGTCATTAACAAAAGATTAAACAGGTCTGTCATATAAAATAGACACAAATATCACTGCATGAAATATACATGCACATAGCCGGACATATTTTACACAGATATCTATATAAAAACGTGTAGCATTAAATTGCATATGTTAATGTTGGTTAAATGCACTATGAACTAACATTAAAGAACAGAGGAAGGTAAATTATTAAAGGTAAATGTACACATTTACAAAACGTTCTGTGCACTTTAAGTTACGCCTTCACAAATATGTCAAACTGCTTGTGGATCTTTGTAACAGGCTGGTAAGTTCATTTACATTTTCACTAATCTTACTCTACACATGCAATTTTTTTAAGTCACTAATTTACCTTAATGATAGTGAATTAACCAAAAGAAACAGAAGATGTGAAATATTGTTAATCACAATAGTTCTTGACTCTTGATCAAGACTCTTGATTCTTGACAGCTAATGCAATAACTAGGCTAATAAATATTAATGAGTGAAACATTTGTAACGTGCTAGAGTAGGCTACATTTTTAAGTGTTTATCAAAATTGTATTTTAGCATTTTTTATTAAAATTAAGGCCACGGCTCGACAATAAGGACTGCCCGATGGCCCGGGGCCAGCGTGAAAGACGCTTGGGACAGATGATGGATTTATTGAATTTAAACATTCAAGAGGGTTTAAAGCATTCATGCAGACACGGGAGAGAGCTCCATTCAGTGTGTTCTGAGTGTACATATAGAGCCGCGTCTCAAACAGTGCGCAAGCCTGAATTGCGTTTTTTTTTCTGGAAAAATACATACAAATGTAAAAAGTATGCAATGTTATTTTACATTTGATTATTCAATTTCTGTACCTGAATACCTACAAATTCAAAAACCTAACGCATTGTTTATTTTTTATCTTTGTTCTATTTATTCATTTATTTAGGCTATTTGTGCTATTGTTTATAATTGGTTCATTTGTTCTTATTTACTGACTTGTCTTCAATTGGAATTAGAATTGTAAAATTTAACAGGTAGGCCTATCTATAAATTTGGTATTGAAAAAACAATGATAAAACAATTTCTTTTGTGGCAGGGCAAATCAAAATTTGAACCACTGTTGAGCCCTTTTGGCCAAATCGCAAGTGTGAATCTTCAGTTGCTTCACGATTTGATTCGATTGATTAGGATGCATCACAATGCATCTTCTCCTCCAATTATTTAATTAATAATAATTACCATAGTAATAATCACAATAAAGCTCTTTTTGTTATTTTACCTCTGCTAGCCTATTAAAAATAAAAACAAAGATACAAATAAACTGTAGAGAAAATACGATATAGGCCTATAAAAAAATTAACAGTGCTTTACTTTTACATCTATTTTACAGAAGCAAATTGAATAATCAAATGTAAGTATAATCATTGCATAGTCTTTAATGTATTAATTACAAAGAATAAAGCTACAAATTCATTGGGTCAAGAGGAGTATTTCCCTCGTTTCTTTCATTGTTTGAGTTGTAGCTATTATATAAAGATCTAAATCACAAATCCGATTACACATTAGATTTTTCCACAACTGTTTACAAAATAACCGTCTGTTTACGTGAATACTCACCAAGACAAATATTCAGATACATTTCTTAATTAAAATAGCCTATAACAAGAGTAATTTATTATAATAAAACAGTAGCCTACATTAATATGTATGATGAGGCCTATTTAATTACATTAAATCGTCCACATCAGCATCGCGATGCATCACAAAAATTATCATACTCCACAGCTCTAGTGTGTGATGGCTAATACTGCGAGCTCAACTATGTTAAGATAAAAAAGTTTTTTTATTTGACTAATTATAGCCTACTGTATCTAGCTACTGCTAGCATGACCTACCTTTGCCGTGATCTGCATCTTCTCTTTAGCCTTGCGTTAAAATATGCCGTGAACTTTGGATTTTTTTTCCAACAAATTTGACTGCATGACTTTTCAGTTTATTTTTGCTCATTTTCCCCTTTTCTCTTTCATATTTGGGAGCGTTTTACTGACACTTCTCGCGCAGGACATGCAACGCCCGCACGCGCATTCAACCCAAAAGTGATAAAGTGTAATTTTAAGGTAACGGAAAATGTGGTTACAATATTTCCGGTATCACCGGGGGCCCCCCCTCAGCCCGGGACCCTGGGCTTAAGCCCAGGTAAGCCCGTGCATTAATGCGGCCCTGTCTACAATCTAAGTTTCAGTCTCCAGTCCAAGACCCTCTCCAATCCAATGCTCCCTGCCTAATTCTAGGCTGTCTCTCCAAAGCAAGACTCTCTGCCTGGTGCAGTTCTCTCTTTCCAATTCAAAACCCTCTCCAATCCAAGACTCTCTGACCTGTCCAAGATTCTCAGCCCAGTACAAGACACTCTCCAATCCAAGACTCTGTCCATTCCAGGTCCCTCTACAATCTCAAGATTCCCTCTCTGACTCTTCTTCCAGTCCAATACTCTATTACAAGACACAAAGAATCCAAAGTGCCCAACTCCAGTTACCCAATTCACAGTCATCAAAATCCATGCAGGTCGATTCTAATCAGGGATCACTTTATTCCATGCATCAATGCAGTACTCAAGCCAGCCAGAATGGAGACTGGCTCTTTTACATCCAGAGCCAAGGCCCTGTTCCTTTATCTTGGTCCTGCCTCACTGCTACCCCCACTAAACCACCACCCCTCCCCCATCCCAGCTCTGCAGTGCTCCCCCTGGAGGGAGAGAGAGAGAGAGACCAGACTGTGTGCTGAGACTCTACCCCATCTGCAGAGCTGCAGCTTCCTGCGCTAAGGGGGGATAAAAGTGCTGACTCTCGAGCAATTCCTGTAGGAACAGTTTAAGCAAGAATCCATATTTAAATAACTAAATGTCTCTCTTAGGTTTAAATAGCAACATGTCTGAAGTACAATTCTAGTCGCTGAGAATGCCATTATTCCAGGATGGTACTTGGGATGGCAACGATATTAGCAATTAAAATATCATAACTGTAATAATGTGCTTTCCCTAATAAAACCCCACTTGAGGATTTTTCTTTTCAAAGTCCCTTACTGTAGATCAAACACTACAATTTGCATACTACATGTGGCCTTATAATCACTACATCCCTTTATAGAGATCAAGCAGTTCCATTTGCATTTTCTACAAAGCATGATAAGCACATTTTACAAAAGATAAAACAATGACTAAAACGTGCACCACCCGAAGAATGGTATGCATGCGGTCCCTTACACATCAAAGACTACAAATTAATAAGAAAATTAAAAGAAAAAGAAATATATTAAAAAGTTTCTGCCCCAAGACAAAACACCCCATGGTTCTCCTTTGTATCTCTTTCTCTCTTCCACACACATTCACCCTCATTGTATGAAAGCTTTGACAACAGAGGGACTCATGCTGTGAGTCCATGTCTGAGTTTGCTAAGGAAGTCGATGTAATTACTGTGCAGTGAGAATGTTCATCTACGCACTTCAGTGCCTCACTAACCATAAATACCAGGGCACAAGGGAGCACACGAAGAACAGGCCTACAACTCATGAACGTGACAGAGTAAAGAGTTAGCACAAAGTACAAATGTTTAGTGGAAGAGTGTGTACAGCTTATGAGCAATGAGGGGATGTGTACAAGTAAATAGATTTGGGGCGGGCAGAATGACCAAGATCTTATATCACGGTACAAGTAATTTAATATCATGGTAACAATATAAATATCACAGTATAGTTAATGTTCCTGGAAACTGAACCCCTAAATGTATATATCCAGTATATATAGTATCCAGTATATTATGACATTAATACATGGTTATTTAATATAAACTATGCATACATCAATCATGTATGCATAGTTGCAATCATACCTCAGTTGAATTCTATAGTACTACAAGTTGCAGGATTGCAGGACAGCCATAAACAATCTACAGTCGCACTGTATACTGTTCTTACACTGAATGCACGCAGCACAGTGCAACACGTCAAAACAAGAAAAAAATGTACTCTAATTATAATTAACAAAGCTGTCTCTACTTGGAGTGCACATCTGTGACACCGTTTGGAGAGTATGCTGTCATTTTCTATGCGATGTTGGATTTTAATAATTGCGCAGTTATATAGAATAACTCTGGCATGTATGTAAATGAGCAATATGTTGCATGACTAGCTACACAAAGGTGCAGATTAACGGTATTTGTATGTGCACTGCATTTCTGAACACTTTGGTCATTCAATTTCAGGAGAAGTCAAGAAAATAGTTGATGAAATAAACATGCTGAATTAGAGGGAGAAAAAGAAAGCCTTACGACTTTGGGATGGTGAAGTACGTTGCGTTAATGGCCTCTCTATATGTTTTAAATGGCCGTGTTAATGGGCTTTTTATATGAACTGAAATTGCTCTCTTAATGGCTAAAATGGTTCTGTTTGCCAGTTTGTATGTGTTTGTACGCGTGTATGCAACCTGGCACTATCGATCCCTCCCTGCAGTTGACGGGCTGTGAGCTCACACAGAATTGGGAAATGGTGGCTTTTTTGCAGGATTCTGTGATTTCCACTGTTTTATGAGCTCTGCGCCTCTGTATTTCAGCATGAGTGTTTGCCCTCATTGGCCTTGTGAAAAACAATGTGGTCACCTAAGCAGTGATATCAAAGGAGAGTTATATTGCTTTCCCCTCTGCCGAGAGATACTCTAATAAGTGATTTCCTCTTTACCATTTCCCCTCAGTTTGAACAAAACGTTTCCTCATTAGCCGCCCCTCTGGAAATTACATATTGAAAATGCCCGTCTGCTGAAGTGTGATATTACAAATTTAGTGGTCAATTAGCCTAGTTTTGGGGCCTAAAGTTATAATTAGATTGTTGTGTGACTGAAGGCCCCTCTTTCCTCTCGACTGCAGCTCCCACATCGCAGAGTGACATTCTCCACAGCCAATCCCGTGCAAGATCAGCAGGACTCCTCTCAGCAGAGTTACTATGACAGTGGTCTGGAGGAGTCTGAGACCCCCAGCAGCAAGAGCTCTTCAGGACCACGTATCGGCCCCCTCGCCCTGCCCGAGGACCACTATGAACGGACCACCCCTGATGGCAGCATTGGAGAGATGGAACACCCAGAAACCGGTAGGCAATTTAGACTGCTGTTACATCTCGTTTGACAGGGTAACACTGGATCCAGTGAAGAGTTGCCCAGATGAGTTTTTTTTTGTCAACACTGCTTTGTTTTGGCCAAAGCTAGATCTATGAGTTTGGGGTCAGAAGCAGACTCAGCAGGGTCTGTGTCTTGCCCATCAGCAAGCCCTCAATCACAACAGCAAATCATTCTTAATGACCCTCTCACACAAGTGTGCTAATTAAAAACTCCGACTAATGGAGCTTTTGGTCTCTGAATAAATCTGCACTTTGACGTCTGCCCAGACAACAGTGTGCTGATCGTAAACAGCTTCTTTGCTCAAGCCAAACTGCTCTCACAGCAGCTGCCGGGGTCATAAAACAATAAGACAGAAAACGAATCCAAAAAAGAAAATGCAAGGACTAAGCAGGATAGTCTGCCGTCAATTTCGTTTAGCCATTACTAAATTCCGCCGGAGACGTACTAGACATTATTCCTGCAATTCATTTATATTGTTGCTCTCATAACCAGAAACATCCTCACAGCAGCTGCCCTCCCAAATTCATCTCTGTTCAATTTAAGCTCCATTACCACGGCAACAGTGCCATAATACCACTTTTTCTTCAGATTTTTGTTCTATTAGTGCTGTTGTGCTTAATTACCATGTTAATATCCCTCTGGATGTCTTAGCGAGCTCATGTTAACATTTTAGCTGTCAAATATACCTTAGTCTTCTCACGTCAGTATTTTAACATGCTCCGTGAAACACAACGTCCTGTTGATTTCACACTGGGAACCTGCGTCTCGTGTTGGGTGTGTCTGCCAGCCCCACAGACATGCATCAGATTCTAGGGGAACCGTTTAAGAAGTGAAATGTCAGCACTGCATGCGACTGGCTCTGTGTTCAACAGAGAAAATCCTATGGCAAATGAACACATAACCTTCTGTCTGTACATTGCCTTGTGGGTCACACCTTTGTCTGATGTGTTATGCATGATTTTGCATGATGGTCTTTGGCCAATATCTTCAGGAAGCCATGAATAGAGGGACTTTTGTCATTTTATTTTTGTCATGGAATCCAAGAAAAATTTAAATATCTCAACAAAGATTTTTTATAGGACTTTCAGCCTCAAGAAAGAACAAAAAACATCCTAAGATGTAGCACTATAAGTATAATGAACAGAAATTTAAGTCAGATTTTTTTTCCTGACAGGCAATACTCACACCGTTGTATTTTATTGAACCCATATAACATAAGTATACAATAATAACAACAAAAATATTTTTATTATTCATAATATGTTATTGTGAATATTTTATTATACTGTACTGTATATAGTATTATTTTTCCTAAAATATTTGTATTTTATTCAATTATAAAAAAAAAATTTTTTAAAGACAATAAAGCAATATATTAACATAAAAGCAATAATACTGCTATACTGAAAAATAGCAAAAATAGTATTTAATAATAATAATAATAATAATTGTTATTTATTTATTATTATTAAAATATTTTATTCAATTATATTATAAAATTTTAATAAGACAAATATATATTAATGCAATAATAATAATAATATTTTACTGTACAATAACAAAAATTGGTATTTATTATTATTATTATTAAAATAAATTAATAAATCACCCAAAAATGAAAATTACCTCATGATTTACTTCACCCTCAAGCCTTCCTAGGTGTATATGACTTTCTTCTTTCAGACAAATACAATCGGAGTTATATACAAAAATGTCCTGACCCTTCCAAGCTTTATAATGGAAGTGAATGGAGGTTAAGATTTTGAAGCAAAATAAAGTGCATCCATCCATCATAAAAAGTGCTCCACACGGGTTAATAAAGGCCTTCTTAAGCGAATAGTAGCTTACGCTACGCCTACATCCTACGTCTTCCGCTGGAATGCCACTCTCATGAATGTGCGTATGAGAGTTAGCAGAAGCTAGAGATTATGGTTTATTAAGTTTTCAATATGTTTATTTTTCTTACACAAACGCATTGATTGACTTCAGAACATTTTTTAATATAACTCTGATTGTATTCGTCTGAAAGAAGAGAGTCATATACACCTAGGATGGCTTGAGGGTGAGTAAATCATGGGGTAATTTTCATTTGGGTGAACTATCCTTTTAACTGTAAAATTACAATACGAATTTTCATGGCTGTCTTAATTTCTTTGCTTTCAAATCTTTTATTTTTTTCAGTGAGACCATAAAGCTTATTTTTTGCTGACAACAGCTTTTATAAACAAATCTCATAAAAATTTGTGAAGATGGTTGACGCTTGTTACGTTTTAATTTCAGATAATAAGCGACTCAAACTCACAGCGCTTGCAAAGACGGAGTCCTGTGGATAAGAATTTACTGCTAACCAAGCCAGTCCGAGACACTGAAAACACAGACTGCTCGCTTGTAACAACGTGATCTGCTTGCATGTAAATAAACAAAGTGTCACGCTTTAAGCACTCATCAGATCCACACGAATCACTAACTACCTATTTTGGATTCTAAATGGTGATGTTTATCGAAAAGTGACAAGTTTGCACCCCTGATCATTGAATAATGCTTTAAATTTTGGTGTTTTTTACTTTTGTAGTGTTCTTTTTTCTCTGTTGATGTCTACAAATATTGTTTTCGTATTCTCTGGGGGGGGGTGGAACAACATGAGGGAATAAAAAAATTGCGAAATGTTCATGTTTTGGTGAACTTCTTCTTTAAAGACTAGCATGGCACAAGCTGGCTTTTTGTTGTTGTTTTTTTTTTGGTGTCACGAGAGTGAGAAGACTGAGGATTGTTGGCATCTTTGATTTGATCCGATTTGATCTGAAAGTGAGTGAGTCTGACAGCCCTGCTAGCTGTGCCGGGTGGGCATGTACATTGATCAGGCAGGGAGGGGAACTGTTAGAGGTAGACCTAATTAAAATATGATTCTCACCTCAGGGAGATTATAAAGAAATCCCTCATTGAGAAATGGAGGAGAAAATGATTTTAAAAAGGCAGTTGTTCCCACTCCCCCACCCCCTCTAGCCATCTACCATGCGGTGCTGCTTCCTGCCCCCTATTTATTTTTGCGGTGGGATTTGAGTGACAGGGTGACAAGCAGGGGCCGGTGGAGGGTTTTGTTCGCTGCCGTTGCAATGATTGACAGTTTGGGGAGGGGTGCCACTCCGTTTAAACTGGATGAAAAGCAATATGTGAACTTCACACACACATTCCTGTGCGTCTGTGGCCCACAGCAGAAAGGACACCGTGGATCCCCAAAGCAGTTTGGCCTTTGGTTATGAAAAGTCTCCTTTTTTGTTGCCGACGTTGGCCCCTTCGTGCAGGAAATGATTGTGTTTTCTGATTTGCTCTGACCTTTGTTACTGGCCCTCTTGATTCCCAGTTCTCATTGACAGTGCTGGAACACGACGCATTGTTCTCTTGCCTATTTTAGATATACAGTGAACACCTGCAGCCTGTGACTGATTCAGTGACCGACTGTAACTCTAAACCAATCATTTCTGCAGCCCGGGACGACGTGTCGAATATCGTCCATCTCTCATGCTGAGCAAATGGCAGATGTAATATTTCACATGCCCTTCACGGGATATTTGACACAACAACCATTGTTAGCTGCTATCAATACAGAGCGCAATATACATGATACATCTAATCCATCCATAAGACCGCAAACTGACGTACCAAGAGCTCCGCTAATGTTTCAGCCTGTCACTACACCGCTCGTTTGTCAATCCACTAATGATTGATTGGTGTCATCTTGACAAGAGTTACGCAGCACAGAGCAGAGACTAGTGATTTATATTATGCATATACAGTGCATTGCGTTCACCACAACAGCCACAAACTGTTGATCACACAGTTTGACATTGGTCAACAGATGTTTGTGAGTGGAGTGGCCAGTATAGATGTAGTAATGTACATTAAATGATAATAATATAATAATATTATTTGTATTATTATATTATTATTATAATACATTTTTTAAATGTTATTATTAATAAAACAATGAAAATGTTTAAGAGGTCGCTGTATACCTAAAAGCGCCAGCGGGTAAATTTTACCCACGCACATGGCAACTGTATTTATATGGCTAAAGAACATATTATTTCACTGTATTATGCTACTGTCTTCACAAAGAAGTGTCTAGAGTCATGAAATGATTATGTCTAGTCATCAACT